AACAGCATAGTTTGGGCATAAAAAAGAGACACTTAGATCAATGGAACAGAATAGAGAATCCAGAAATAAACCCATGCAGATACTGTCAACTAGTTTACAACAAATGAGACAAGAATATACAGGGGAAAAGACAGTCTCTTCAATAAATTGTGTTGAGAAAACTGGACAGCCAAATGGAAAAGAATGAAAATGGACCATTATCATAAATCATACACAAAAATCTGCTCAAGACAAATCAAAGACTTGAATGTTAAGACCTGAAAACATAAAACTCCTAGGAGTAAACACAGAGAAGCATCTCAACATCAGTCTTGGTGATGATTTTTGGGATTTAACACCAAAAGCAATGACAAAAAGAAAAAAAACACTAAATAAGTGGGACTACATCTAACTAAAAAGCTTCTGCATATAAAAGAAGCCATTAACAAAATGAAAAGACAAATCTACAGAACGGGAGATAATATTTGCAAATCATATATCTGATAAGGGGTTAACATAAAATATATATAAATAATTCATACAACTCAATAGCAAAATAAAAATTCAATTAAAATATGGACAGAGGATCTGAACAGACATTTTTTCAAAGAAGACACACTGATGACCAACAGACACACAAAAAGGTGCTCAAAATCACTAATCATCAGGGAATTGTAAATCGAAATCACAATGAGATATCACCTCAAATTTGTTAGAATGGCTGTTATCAAAGAGACAAGAAATAAGTGTTGGTGAGGATGTGGAGAAAAGGGAACCTTTGTGTACTGTTGGTGGGAACGTAAATTGGTGCAGTCACCAGGGAAGTAGTATGGAGGTTTTCAAAAAATTGAAAATAGGACCAACATATGACCCAGAAATTCTACTCTTGGGTATTTATGTGAAGAAAATGAAAACAATAACTCAGAAAGATATACACACTCTCATGTTCATTGCAGCAATATTTAAGACATAGACAAGACATAGAAACAATGTAAGTATCCATCAATTGATTAAAAATAAAATTGTAGAATATATATATATACATATATATATATGAATATATATATATTCACACACACACACACACACACACACACACACCGGAACATTATTCCGTCATAAAAAGAAGGAATTCTTACCATTTACAACATGGATGGAACCTGAGGAATTACACTATGTGAAATAAGTTAGACAGAAAAAGACAAATACTGTATGATCTTGCTTATATGTAGAAACAATGAAAAAACCCAAAACAAAAACAGAAAACAGAGATACAGAAAAACTGAGATACAGGGAACAGATTGGTTGTTGTCAGATGTGGAGATGGTAGGGAGTAGATAAAATGGGTGAAAGGGGTTAAAAAGTACAAATTTCCAGCTATAAAACAAATAAGTCATGGAGATACAACATTCATCAGGGTAACGTTAGTTAATAATACCGTTTGTATATTTTGACAGTGCTAGGAAAGTAGATTTTAAGTTTTCATCACACATAAAAATATTTTGTGACTATGCACATTGATGGAGGTTAACTAGACTTATTGTGGTGATAATTTCTAAATATATATAAATATCCAATCATTATGTTGTATACCTGAAACTAATATAATGATGTATCTCAATTATTTCTAAATAAAAAAATAGAAAGAAAAAATTAGAATAGAAAACAAAACACTCTAAACTTAACACTCTAGTTTTCCACCTCAGTAAGTGGAATATAATGAATTCTTCATCCATAGTGGAGGATCATGTCAAGCTTTACAAACATAATTTCAAATGTGAATTCTTTTAATCCAGGAGTATAAACAGAGCTGACATTGAAACAAGGCACTAGCCTTACTTATGTGCTGCTATGAGAACCAACAGGACTCTGGTGGAAGGAGTAAGGGCATGGTTCTTCAAACTCATACTAAAAGAGACCTAAGATACATGACACAGTCTCATCATAAATTCCCCACACACATGCAAGAAGGATACATATGTTTCCTTTTCAGACATCCGCTTAGAATGTAAACTGCTCTATTGTGACTTCTCTGCCCCACTTCCAAAATGTTTGTTGTTTGGTCACTTTAGTCTAATATTGCTAGAGTAGAACTGCTTGGATAAATGGATGTCAGAAGCCACTAGGGTGATATGATCTACAGCTCTTTTAGAGAGCCCAAATTTCTTAACTGATCAAATGTAGGCCACGTGCTGCTTTTGGAACTTCAGATAAAGGAATGATAAAACAGATCAGGTTCACTATTGCATGGAGCCTGATTTCAAATGATGAATATAATTAATAAGCAAATAAATAAATATAGAATTTTATATAAAGATACATTCTATGAAGAGGAATAAAATAAGATTCAGGGTTAGAAGAGTGACTGGAGTATTGTTGCAAGAGGGGATGACGTAGGATATGGTAATCAGGGAAGGTTTCTCTAAAGAGATAATATAATATTTAATCTGAAAAACTAAATGATGAGAAGTATTAGTCATGCAAAGATCTGGGGAGAAGCATTCCAAGCAGAGGGAATAGCATATGCAAATGCTTGGCAAGAAAACAATCTTAATGTGTATGAGAAATAAAAAGAATGCTAGTTTGCCTAGGTCATAAAATGAAATGGAAAACTGGTTCAAGATGAGGATGGAAAATAGGCAAGGACTGAATAATGTAGGCATTGAAATCCAAGGTAAGATGCCTAGTTTATTCTGAATGTAATGAGAAACCACTAGAATGTTTTAAGCAGTGGAGAGTAGAGGTAGCAAGATTAGTATTTCAGCAGTATTTCAGCAAAGAGGATGATGATGATGGGGACCACTAAGGTGGAAGTGATTGAGATGGAAAGAAGTGAACTGATCCATGATAGATTTTGGAGTTATGGTAGACAAGTCTTATTGATTGATTACAAGGGGGGGATGAGGAGAAGAGCAGAATCATAGATTACATCCAGGTTTTAAAAGATCAAATGAGTGGACAACAGTGCCACTTACTAAGGTGGAGAATACTGGGGAAGAATAGGTTTTAGGATGAGTTGAGTATTATTGAAATATGTTAAGTTTGAGATGCCTAGTAGATTCTATACTGAAATTTTCAAGTAGGTGATTAGACATAAATAATTTAGAATTCATTGGAAAGACCAAAGCTGAATATATTAATTTTGGGGTCATCAATACATAGATGATATTTAAAACTATTGAATTGGATGGACTCACCAAGGGAGAATTTTAGATAGAAAAGGCCCAGGACCAAGTCTTATATCATACCAACATTAAAGGGGAAGAACAGTAGGATACAATAAAGGTGGTGAAATACAACTAGTAAGTAGGGAGAAAAACAGGAACGCATACAGTCAAGTAAAGTAAGTGTTTTTAAAAAGAAGAAAAGGTTGATTTAAATGCTGCTGGATTGTAAAGTAACATGAGGAGAGAAGAGAAACCAGAATATGTGGCTACAAAAAGGTATTTGGTAATCTTGAAAAGAATACTTTCAGTTAAGTGATAGGGATGAAAGAGCCTAACTGGATGGTAGTTATGCAGATAGAAGTGTATTAAAGAGACCTAGTATGAATATATACAAGCCCAGAACATGCCCTGAAAATTGTTTCTTACAATTAAAATTAACCCTTGGCTCCAACTTGTTTTCTTGTATTTTACTTATTTTTCATAAAAAAGATGCTTTTGGAAAAGAATTCAACTTTTTGAGGGTCCATTTTTCTCATTTACCTTAAAATTATCCACAAATATATTTTCATTTCTTATAAATCTTGTTGCTCTAGTGGCTATCCACTCATTAACTCAATCTCTAAGACTGACCCCTGAACAAGGGAGTCATTAATCAGCTTTGAGTATCAAAGCTGACATATTAAGTCCACCAAGAGAAATTCAGGCTTTTTGAGAGAGATAAAAGGAATTTATAAATCCCTCCCCCAAATGGAAGATATATGAAGAGCAAATGAAGATCAATACATAAAATTTTATTATAAACCAGGGATAGAAAAAACTTGAAACACAAGGTAAAGGGAGATTCTCACTGATCAAGAAGATACTAGAAGCCCTTTGTGAAGGAAGAATAAGAGGACTGGGAGGAATAGGAGAAAAGGAGGGAGAAAATTAATTAATTATAAGGCTCAAGGTCAAGACTCAGCCACAATATACAGATGTTCTGAGTTTAGCAGGACAGATAGCATCAGACCTACCATGCTAAGAATAGACAACACTGTGTGAAAGCAGAGGAAACAGAGACCAGAAACCATTCAAATGAATGCACCTCAACCAATAATCGGAGAGCCAGCAAGGGAGGACAACAATGGAACAGGAGCCCTTCTATCCAAAATGAGATGTCTAACTAAGCTTCCCCTTACAGCCAGGTTTTGGAAGAAAGGGATCCTTGGGAAGTGAGAAATAGAAACTTTGAATTTCCAGAGTATCTCCAAAAAGATTGGATTAACCTCAAAGAGACTGTTATAAACCAAAGAAGACCCAGTCACTTCTGGCAAGTTAACATCTTTTCCTGATTAGCAGTAAGAATGACAGCTCATAAAAAGTTTATTTAGTTCAGATATGGATTAAACAATTTTTTGCATATCTGTATCCTAGTATGTTATTTTTCTACCCTGCTATGTCTGAATTTTGGTTGAGTTTTTGCTATATTCAGCAACCTCCTAGGAAGTGTCTTTATATCTCACTTAAATCTGTCCTTTAGAAGTTTTAGTCAATTTTCATTTTTGTTTAATCTTAAGTATAAAATAGTTAACCACTTTTGTAATATGACTCTTTTTACAAGTAATTGTAAATGTTTTCTTAAATCACAAGCCAATTCTCTGCTCCAGAGTAAATATTATTCTTCACTTTTTGGCATTTGTTTTGCAACTTTTGAGTCCTTTTGAAGTACTCTTCATCTTTCTCATCTGTGAGACCTAAACTTGTCAATATTCCAGTAAAAGAGAACTACTTTTTAGAAAAAATATAAATTTAAACTTTTAAAATCTGTCATTTTTAATCCAATTTTTTCTAAAGATAAAACAAGAATAAACATACCAAAGGAGCATATCTTGGTTTTGGAGGTGGAGGAGGCATCTGGCACTGACAGAGACGTTTGACCCTAGGTGATGGCAGTAAAGGCTCACAAGGAGGTAGTGGTGGTCTTTCCCTTGATGGAGGAACTCTACCTGCACCTATTTTTTTTTCTTTTTGTTTGAATGTAGTCCTTCTGGATGGCATTTTGAATTCTCTCTTTAGATTCTGTGCTTCCTTCTTTGAATCTGTAGATGTGGCATCTGATTCATCAGCTTCTCTCTTTTTAGGCCCAAGTTTATACAGTGACTCTTCAGATTCAGCATCTGAGCTTCTGACTATTTGGGACTTCTTTAGGTCTTTCTTGGAAGACACATCAGATTCAGCATCAGTAGACTCCACGTCCTTTATTGCATCATTCCTGGTGCCTTTCTTTGAATCTTGCATAATTTTCTTTGCATCTTTTCTATCCTTCTTTGACTCCCAATCAGACTCAGTTTCAGTAGACTCTTCAGACTTCATTGCAGACTTCTTTTTGACATCTTTCTTTGAACCTTTCTTCTCCTTTGAATCTTTTTTACCCTTTTTAAAATCCCTTTCAGATTCAGAATTGGCATCAGTAGAACTGGTGTCCTTCTTGACATCCTTTTTCTTGCCAACTTTCTTTGAATCTTTCTTACCCTTCTTTGAATCTTTCTTTGCATCCTTTGAGTCTACAGATTCTGCATCAGTAGACTCTGCATCCTTCTTGGCATCTTTTTTCTTCTCATCTTTCTTTGACTCTTTCTTACCTTTCTTTGCATCCTTTGAGTCTACAGATTCTGCATCAGTAGACCCAGCATCCTTCTTTGCATCCTTTTTCTTATCATCTTTCTTACCATCTTTCTTACCCTTCTTTGAATCTTTCTTTGCATCCTTTGAGTCTCCAGATTCTGCATCAGTGGACCCAGCATCCTTCTTTGCACTCTTTTTCTTATCATCTTTCTTACCATCTTTCTTACCCTTCTTTGACTCTTTCTTTGCATCTTTTGAATCTACAGATTCAGCATCAGAACCCTTCTTTGCATCCTTTTTTGCATCCTTCTTTGGAGGCTTCTTTGAATTATTCTGTGAGTAATTCTTCAACCACATATCAAATTCCATGGGTTCAGCACCAGACTCTTCAAAACACATCACTGAATCCATATTTGAACTACTTTTTGAGCTAGTCTCTGATTTGACATCCGAATTGTTTTTTGAGCTCTTAGAATACTTCTTTGTACATATGGATTCAATATCTGTCTCCTTGGAATTTTTTGAATCTCTCTTATCCTTTTTTTGATGTTTTATTGAGATTGACTTAGAATATTTGGATTCTGGGATTGTTTCTGATTTACACTTTGACTTCTCAGATAGTTTACTTTCATGGGATGATTTTGATGGAGTATTATCTGTTTCATTTCCTCTTTTAGGTTTATCATCATTTACTGTTATCTTGTATCCTGGAGTTGTTTCATGTGGGCCTGTATTTTTTTTGGAAACTTTCTTCAAAGTTGTTCCTTTATTGTCGTCTTTGGACTTTTTAGTTTGTGCCTTTTTAGGATGGGTTATAGGAGAATAAGGATGTCTGAATGAAGTCTGTCTCCTGACAGTTAAGTGAATAGATGGCCTCAGAAAATTTTTTCTTAAAGAATGCCTTATCCATATATGAGCTGGCTTCTGAACTTCTTCTAAATTTCTTTTGTCATGTCTCTGAAAAGATTGATTAGAATAATGATAAGCTTTTTTTGAACAAGTTATATCTTTTTATATTGAATCCAAGAAATAATCTAGCTTTTCAATAACTATCTATTAAAAATTGCATTTTTTTCTTTTTCAATGTTCTGTGAGTGTTTTTTTCTGTATGTGAGATAATTCCATTTTGGAAATAAAATGAATTTAGGAGAAACCTCAGAGTTTCCTCAGTGATTCATATTGGGATCAGAGTAGGCCTACAATGATCCATGACATTTCAGGTTCTGTCCTCACAACTGATAGTAGGTTCCCTTTGGAGTCCTACCTGGAAAGCTCTTTTGAAACATTTTGTGTACCCTTCAGCCCCAAGTTAGATAAGAAATAAGCTGATGCCCCTGAATATTGTCATAATAATTCTTGTGATATGCTATGATTCTCTAGGCTTCAGGCCTAGCCTGATTTCTACTCTTGCTTTCCAGGTCTCTGATCAAATTGAGAGTCTAAGTTTCTTCTAAGAAGAACTGCCAAAAACAAAGACATAAAATAAAACAAGTGTTTTATCCACATTAATTGGTTTAGCAATAGTGTATTTTTTTCACTCCCACCCAAACTTTTCTCAAATCTGGTTGTCATAGTGGCCACATAGACTAATTTTACATTTACTTGCTATAATCCTTCAGCTATCCAGTAGGGACATCTCCAGTCAGTGAAATGGTTATATGGGCTTAAAGGAAAACTGTAAAGAGAAGGATGAAACTTGGATCTCTACAAATGTAATAAATGGTCCTTGAATAAAGCATTGACTGTAACTCTGCTTTGGGAGATGTTTTAAAATATATTCTGACATCACCATGGGTGAGCTCTGTAGGCTAGTGCTTCTGTTAGTTGATAGATTAACAGATTAACTCCATTTTATAAAAGCAGTAGAAAACATGAATCTCTGTGTATCTAGTATGTGAATGCCAGATTAAAGAACATGGAGAGGCCTTGAAATCTCATCAAGATTGGCTGTCTTTCTAAGATTCAAATTTTAGATATTTTTGCAGCTGGTAAACATTTCCTGAGAGATCCCATCAGTTGCAGCATTAGACTCTCCAGCTTGCCTAGCCTATGGGCTATATAATGCCTTTGAAATGGAGAACCACATACAAATAAAAGTTTCATCTGAAATAGTTGGGGGTAATCTGCTTTACAGGGAATCATACATTTAAAAATATATGATTCCAACAGGTAGCAAAATTCAAATGACTTATATTTTATTTATATTTATACATTCTATCATCTTAGATTTAGTTAAAAATGACCTTTTCATTACTTACAGGAACTGTGATTTGTAATTCTGAAGGTCTTGATCTCGTTTTTCTACCTGGCTGGGGTGGTTTGGGAAATGTTAAAGTGAAGTATTGTTGATTCCATAATTTTCTGCTTGATTCATTGACTGAAATGACAGAGGATAATAAACAGTTTGCATTAATAACCAAACTTTCATCAGCCATGAAATATTCTTGAGTAAAAAATATATTGTTTAAATTAAATTAAATTGTAAATAAAAATATACCTTTCCTCCTGGAGTTTGTATTTTATTTGCATATTTGCATATCAGTTAGGGGGAAAAAGCAGATTTCTCCATGTGGCAATACATTTTGCTAACATGACATTTATACTTTTATGTTCTAGATAAAACCAGTTTTCACAACAGTTACTTAAGTCATAATAGTTGCAATAATGCAATCAAACAGTAGGAATGGAATGTAGGGAAAGATTCCTGGATCCTTAGAAACATCTCCATCATTTCCTTTATCTTGTTTTTCTTCTTTATGTAATTTTGGCTAGATTGCAGCACATATGATTTATTTTTTTAAACTTCTGTTTTCAACTGAAGTATAGTCCGTTTACAATGTTGTGTCAATTTCTGGTGTACAGCTTAATGTTTCAGCCATACCTAAACATACATATATTCATTTTCATATGATTTTTCATTGTTAGTTACTCCAAGATATTGAATATAGTTCCCATGATACACAGTAGAAACTTTATCTATTTTACATATAATAGTATTTGCAAATATCAGACTCCCAATTTATCCCTTCCCACTCATTCCCCCTGGTAATCATAAGTCTATTTTCTGTCTGAAAGTCTGTTTCTGTTTTGTAAATAGGTTCATTTGTGCCTTTTTTTATAAAGATTCCACAAATAACAGCATCATACAGTATTTTTCTTTCTTTCTGGCTTATTTCACTTAGAATGACAATCTCCAGAACCACTCATGTGGTTACAAGTGTCATTATTTTATTCTCTTTTGTGATTATTATTCCATTGTATAAATACACCATAGCTTCTTTATCCAGTCATCTGTCAATGGACATTTAGGTGTTTTCCAAGTCTTGCCTATTGTAAATAGTGCTACTATGAACATTGGAATGCATGTATCTTTTTGAATTAGAATTTCTTCTGGATATATACCCAGGAGTGGTATTGCTGAATCATAGGATAAGTCTATTTTTAGTTATTTGAGGAATCACCATACTGTTTTCTATAATGACTGCATCAAACTACATAACTACCAGCAGTGTAGGAGGGTTCCTTTTTCTCCACACCCTCTACAGCATTTATCATTTGTGGACTTTTTTTTCTATTTATTACTGAGTTATAGTCAGTTTACAATGTTGTGTCAATTTCCAGATTAGAGCACAATTTTTCATGTATACATGAACATACATATGTTCATTGTCACATTCTTTTTCACTGTGAGCTACCACAAGATCTTGTATATATCTCCCTGTGCTATACAGTATAATCTTGTTTACACTGCTGGCGGGAATGCAGTTTGGTGCAGCCACTGTGGAAAACAGTATGGAGATTCCTCAAAAGACTAGGAGTAGACTTACCATAAGACCCAGGAATCCTGCTCCCGGGCATATACCCAGAAGGAACCCTACTTCAAAAAGACATCTCCACCCCAATGATCATAGCAGCACTATTTACAATAGCCAAGACATGGAAACAGCCTAAATGTCCATTGACAGATAACTGGATAAAGAAGAAGTGGTATATTTATACAATGGAATACTATTCAGCCATAAAAAAGACAACATAATGCCATTTGCAGCAACATGGATGTTCCTGGAGATTGTCATTCTAAGTGAAGTAAGCTAGAAAGAGAAGGAAAAATACCATATGAGATTGCTCATATGTGGAATCTAAAAAAAAAATAAATACAAAACAGAAACAGACTCATAGACATAGAATACAAACTTATGGTTTCTAGGGGGGAGGGGTGGGAAGGGATAAACAAGATTTGTGGACATTTTAATGATGGCCATTCTGATTGATATGAGGTAATATTTCGTTATAGTTTTGATTTTCATTTCTCTGATAATTAGCAATATTGAGTCTTTTTTTTTCATGTACCTATTGGCTATTTGTATGTCTTCTTTAGAGAATTGCTTATTTCAGTCTTCTGCCTATTTTTGGATTGAGTTGTTTGTTTTTTTCTTGTTAAGTTGTATGAGCTGTTTATTTATTCTAGGAATTAAGTCCTTGACAGTCGAATCAATTCCAAATAGTTTCTCCCATTCTGTAGGTTGTATTTTTGTTTTGTTTATGGTGTCTTTTGCTGTGTAAAAGTTTATAATTTTAATTAGGTCCCATTTGTTTATTTTTACTTATATTTCTATTGCTTGGGTAGACTTCCCTAGGAGAACATTGCTAAGATTCTAGTCAGAAAATGTTTTGTTTATGTTTTCTTCTAGGAGGTGTATAGTGTCTTATGTTTAAGTATTTAAGCCATTTTGAGCTTAGTTTTGTGTATGGTGTAAGGGAGTGTTCTAAATTCATTGATTTACATGTGAGTGTCCAGTTTTGCCAGCACTACTTGCTGAAGAGACTGTCTTTTTTCTATTATATATTCTTGCCTTCTTTCTCAATGATTGACCATTAAGCATGTGGGTTTATTTCTGGGCTCTTTATTCAGTTCCATTTATCCATATGTCTATTTCTATGCCAATACCATGCTGTTTTGATTACTGGAGCTCTGTACTTCTATCTGAAGTCTGGGAGGGTTATTCCTCCAGATTTATTCTTTTTCTTCAGTAGTGCTTTGGCAATTCTGTGTCTTATGTGAGTCCATATAAATTTGAGGATTATTTATTCTAGTTCTGTGAAAAATGTCCAGGGTAATTTGATAGGGATAGTATTAAATTTCTAGATTGATTTGGATAGTATGGCCATCATAATAATATTAATTCTTCCAATCCAAGAGCATGGGATATCTTTCCATTTCTTCAAGTTGTCTTTAATTTCCTGAGTCAGTGTTTTGTATTTCTCTGCTCATAAGTTTTTCACTTCTTTGGTCAGATTTATTTCTAAGTATTTTATTTTCTGGATGAAATTCTAAAAGGGATTGTTTCTTTACTTTTCTTTTCTAATATTTCATTGTTACTGAAAAGAAATGGAAATGATTTCTTTATGTTGTATCCTGCTACCTCACCCTTAATTCTTTTATCAGTTCTGGTAGTTTTTGCATGAAGCCTTTAAGGTTTTCTCTATATAGTGTCATGTCATCCACATATAGTAACAATTTTACCACTTTTCTTCCAATTTGAATCACTTTTATTTCTTTTCTTGTCTAATTGCTATGCCTAGGGCTTCCAATACTATGTTCAATAGAAGTGGTGACAGTGGACATCCATGTCTTGTTCAAGATTTTAGTGGGAAGGTTTTCAGCTTTTCACCATTGAGTGTTATGTTGGCTGTGGGTTTCTCATAAATAGCTTTTATTATGTTGAGATATGTTCCCTCTATACCCACTTTAGTGAGAATTTTTATCATAAATGGATGTTGAATTTTATCAAATGTTTTTTTTGCATCTGTTGAGATGATCATGTGATTTTTGACCTTTCTTTCATTGATGTGGTGAACTACATTGATTAATTTGCATATGTTGAACCATCTTTATGTCCCTGGGATGAACCCAACTTGATTATAGTGCATGATCTTTTTTTATGCATTGTTGGATTCTGTTTGCTAATGTTTTGTTGAGGATTTTTGCATTAAAGTTCATCAGTGATGTTGACCTGTAGTTTTCTTTTTCAGTAGGGTCTTTGTGTGAGTTTGGTATTAGAGTGATGGTGGCTTCATAGAATGAGTTTGGAAATATTCCCTCCTCTTCAATCTCTTGGAAGTTTGAAAAGTATCAGTATGATATTGTATGTTTAGTAGATTTCCCCAGTGAAGCCATTTCATATTGTACCTTTGTTTTCAGGGAGGTTTGTTATTGCTAATTTTATTTCACTTATATTGATCAATCTGCTCAAATGATCTATTTCTTCTTGATTCAGTTTTGGTGGACTGTGTGTTTCTAGAAACTTGTCCATTTCTTCTATGTTGTCCAATTTATTGACATACAGTTGTTCATATTATTCTCCTATGATCTTTTGTATTTGTATGGTTTTGTTTGTAATCTCTCAATTTTCCTTTCTTACAGTGTTTATTTGTGTCCTCTCTCTTTTCTTCTTGATGAGCCTGGCCAGAGGTTTGTCAACTTTGTTTACTCTTTCAAAAAACAAGTCTTGCTTTGGTTGATTTTTCTATTGTTTTTAATCTCTGTTTTATTTATTTCCTCCCTGATCTTTTTTATTTGCTTCCTTTGGCTGAATTGAAGTGTTTTTATACTTCCTTTTCTAATTCTTTTAAGTAGTAGGTAAGGTTGTTTATTTAAGGTTGTTCTTATTTTTTGAGGAAGGCCTGTATTGCTATGAACTTCCCTGTTAGGACTGCTTTTGCTGCATCCCACGGATTTTGTGTGGTTGTGTTTCCAGTGTCAGTTGTCTTAAGGTATTTTTAAATTGTTTTTTATCTCATTATTGATCTATTGTTTTTTAGTAGCATATTGTTTAGTCCCCCCATTTTGTTCTCATTTGTCTTCCTGTTTCATTTCTAGTTTCATGGCACTGTGGCCAGAAAAGATACTTGAAATAATTTCTGCCCTTTTAAATTAGTTGATGCTTCTTTTGTGCCCGAGTATGAGGTCTATCCTAGAGAATGTTACAAGAGCACTTGAAAAGAATGTATATTGTGTTTTTTGGGATGTAATGTCCTAAAAATATCAACCAAGTCCAAGTGTTCTATTGTGTCATTTAGTATCTCCATCGTCTTATTGATTTTGTCTCAAAGATCTGTAAATGATGTTAGTGTGGTGTTAAAATCTCCTGCTATTATTGTGTCCCCATCAATTTCTCCCTTTATATCTGTTAGTATTTGTTTATATATTTAGGTTCTTTTTTAACACTGTGTGTATATATGTTAATGAGTGCAATATTCTCTCCTTGTTTTACCCCTTTTACCATAATATAATGTCTTTATTTATCTTTCTTTATGGCCTTTGTATTGAAGTCTATATTGTCCGTTATGTGTATTGCCACCCCTGCTTTCAGGTCATTTCCACTTACATGAACTATCTTTTTCCATCTTCTCTTTCAGTCTATGTGTGTCTGTC